GGCTGGGACGCTGGGTCGTGCTCTGCGTGTCTCCACGCGTGTGGCGCGCTATGACTTTGCATAGGCTCTGGGGCCGCAGATGGCCACCCAGAGTGGGAATGAAGAGGGAAACTGAAAGCGCAGACTCCGTGACAGCCAGAAGGCTACTCGCCCCCAAGCCAGCCTGAACTGCATTCGCGTCCTCGAGTTGCGGGGGGAGGAGGAGGAGGAGGAGGCGGGAGGAGGAGGAGGAGGAGGAGGAGGAGGAGGAGCAGCAGCAGCAGGAGGAGGAGGGAGGAGGAAGGACGCTGAGTTCGTAAAGTCAGGGGCAGGTTGGACGGTGATTCCGACTTCCCGAAGCCTGGCCCCAGGCAGCGCGAGCCGCCACCCCCCTCCCTCATAGCGCACAGCGAGCGGCTGCAAGAGGGCGCTGGCCGCTGACCGGGGGGGGGGGGGGGGGCGCTTGCCGCAAGGCGACGTCCAGAGTCACGGCGCTCCCCTCTGCAATCTGCGTTGGTTTTCGTCGGCGGCGAGACGGGCAATCCGCTCCAGCCTGCAGCGATGCAAGGGCACCGAGGTGCTGATATTCCTCCTCCTCCTCCTCCTCCTCCTCATCCTCCTCCTCCTCCTTTCCTCCTCCTCCTCCTCCTCCTCCTTCCTCCCCCCCCCTCCCCCCCCCCTCCCCCCCGCCCCTCCTTGCCCCCAACCTGGCTCGACCTGGCGGGGAGCGGCGTGGCCGACCTATTCGGGCGAGACGGCGCGGGCACAATTTAGCAAGGGCCCCTCGGGCCCCGGGCCGTTGCCGACGCTGGCACCAAATATCCCAGCGCCCCCAGACCGCTTTCGGCGAGGCGCGCTCGATGACTTAGCGGGCCCTGGATTGCGAGAGCAACGTTCGTTAGTCTTGGACCCCAAACAGCGAGTCATTTCCACGCGCGTGGGGCGCGAAATGGTCAGGACCCCCCCCTCTCTTGCGAATTGCATGGCGCAGGCTTCTGGAGCCAAACTGGTGCACCCCCATCCCGGGCCCCATCCCCCAAGAAAAGAGAGACGAACCTTTCGTTCGATTCGCCAGCTGTCCGCTTTGGATGCGTAATCTAGGCGGCGCAAGATGCGCAGTGTGCAACGCGCGCGGCGCGACCTACGCAGCGCGAGCTACGTCGCGCAACGTCTGCGCGCTGAAGTCATGGATGAAGCCATCCACGAGCAGCAGGAGCGCCCCAACCCCGCCGCCACCAGACCAGCCGCCACCACCACCACTATCGCCACCACCCGCCACCGCAGCCACCAGCGCGAAACGTCAGCGAGCCCGGCGAGCCACAACGCAACCGTTTACCTAGAAAGCAAGTGGGAAGTCGTCGAGTCGAGAACTCAAAACACCCAGAAGGGCATGAGTGCAAGCAAAGTTTGGGAACGAGAGACTCGCCCGGCTGCAACCTGGCGACCGCTGGGCATGCTTCGTTGCCTTCCTCCTTCCTCCCTCTGATCCTCGCCGCCGCCGGCCGCCGGCCAGGACTCTCTCGCCGCCGCCGGGCCGCCGCCGGCCGCCGGTCTTCGACGAGGCGGGGGCGCGCGCAGCGCAGGAGGGAGGGGGGGGGTTCCATCGCGCACCCTCGCTCGGCGCATCTGAGACTTGAGGGCGGGGGAGGAAGACCCCCCCGCTCCACGGAGCCCCTCCTCCTCCTCCACCTCCTCCTCCTGCTCCTTAATTTCCTCCTCTTCCTCCTCCTCCTCTTCCTCCTCCTGTTCCTCCTCGGCATCCCTCCTCCTCCTCCTCCTTGGCCCGAGGCCTCTGCTCTTCTGCCCACCCCCTGCGTTTTGTTTGATGCGCCGTCCGTCTGTCAATCTGCGCAAAGACGAAGCCGAGACAGGGGGTTCGTTGTTTATCTGATTCCCATGCGCCCCAGACCCCGGGCCCCCGAGAGTTTGAGGGGGGGGGGGGGGGGGCAAACACTGCGCGGGGGGTTGCATGTTCGGACAGCTGATTCATTCGAAAGCTTTCAAGTGTCCATGGGCATGGCTTATGCCGGCCCCTCCTCTTTCCTCCCCGTCCATCCCCGGTGGCCCATCCCCCCCCTGCCCTTCTGCCCCTGCGTAGAGTAGGCCCCTCCCCCTCCTCTTCCTCGGGGGGGCGTCGCATCGTTGAGTTGCTCGGCCCTGGGCAAGACGAACCAGTGCGACTGCGCATCATTTCAGCGCGCCCTGCGCCCTGCGAAGCGCGATTCGACGCAGCGGGCGGCGATCCAAAAGAGGAGCGCGAGCACCGCGCGCCTGCGTGTCACTCGCCCCCCTGTCCCCTGGGGGGAAATATTTGAGCGCGCGCTGGGCACATTGACGAGAAGCAGTCCCTGTCGCGGTGGGCCCCCCCGCCGCGAACCTTCGAGAACATGCTTGCAACGAATTCGAGTTGTGGCATCTTAACAGCCCTAATGTCCCGACCCTGGTCGCGAGTGAGACGCGCGACCCCGGCGCAACACTTGGCGTGCCAGGTCATCTGGCAGAGCGAGCAGGTGGACGTCTCGTCCAAGGACTCCGCGGGCCGCCCAGGGCACGCGGCGCACTCCTGCCGGAGCGTGGGAGGGCGGTCAGGTCTCTCCTCTCCTCGCCCCAACGTGGCGCCCAACTGCCCCCAAGCGGCCCCTCGAAGCCCCGGAGAGCCAGAGCCCCCAAAACGCTCCAGGACGCCCCCATATGGACCCCGCAACGCCCGACGCGGCCCGACGCCCACCAAAATGGGCCGAGGGGATATTCTGATGGCCAGGCTATGGCCAGGCCAACTTGGGGGCCTTTGGGCGCCATCTTGGAGCTTTCTCGTCACTCTCGCTGCTGCGGGGCTGCGGGGCACGGGCTGCTCGCTAGTTGCCCCCGTTATCCCTGCCTTTTCCCCGGGGCCCAACCTGAACGGCGTTTTCTGTTTACGTTTCGTTTTCGTTTACAAGCTAAGTGTGAGCGAAAACAAAAAACATAGCGCATGAAAGAACGGCGGCACGGCCGCGGGCCACTGCGGGCCACCGACAAAACGAGGAACCAAACCAGCGAGCACCAGGCGCGCAAGCAACAGTTTAAGTGACCCGTCGGGCCCGTCAGGTCAGCACAAGCACACGCACAGCACGACCACGCAGCACAACCCCCCTTCCGCACGGGCCCTCCCCCAGCTCAGCTCAGCACAACCCCCCGGCATAACGCCTCAGCACAAACCCCAGCTCAGCACAGGCCCCCAGCTTCCCAGCACAAGCCCCTTGGAGGTCGTGCTTGGAGGTTGTGCTGAGTGCTGGGGGTTTGTGCCAAGGGGTTGTGCTGGTGGTTGTGCTGGGGGGTTGTGCTGGGTGATTGTGTTGTGCTGGGGGGTTGTGCTGGGGGGTTGTGCTGTGTGTGTGTGTGCTGAGGGGGGTGTGCTGGGGGGTTGTGCTGGGGGTTCTCCGGGTTCTCCTGGTGGATTGTGCTGGGGGGGCTTGGCTGATGGGTTGTGATGAGGGGTTGTGCTGAGCAAATTGTGCTGAGCGGTTGTGCTAGGGGATTGCGCCAGGGAGTTATGCTAATGCTATGCTGAGCTATGCTGAAGGGTTGTGCTGGGGGTTGTGTCACGGGGTTGTGCTGGGAGCTGCGTTGGAAGATTATGCTGGGGGGTTGTGCCGGGTGTTGTGCGGTTGTGCCAGGGAATTATGCTGGGGGCTGTGCTGGGGGATTGTTGGGGGGTCATGTTGGGGAGCTGTGCTGAGCTAGGGGGTGCTGGGGGATTGTGCTGAGGGGTCGTGCTGGGGAATTGTGCTGGGAGGTTGCGATGATGGGTTGCGCTGAGGGGTTGTGCTGGGGAGCTGCGCCGGGAAGTGACGCTGGGGGGTCGCGCTGGTGTGCCAAGGGGGTGTGCTGGGTTTTGTGCAGGAGGTTGCGCTGGTGGATGGCCTTCCCCTCCCCCTCCTGCTTTCTCGTCTCGCCCCCCCGATTGAGGCCCGCAGTTGTGGCCCGGAAAGGCGGGGCCCGCCGTTTGAACCCAGAAACCTCCTTCTCCTCCTCTTCCTCCTCCTCCTCCATTTCCTCCTCCTCCTCCCCCTCCTCCTCCTCCTCCTCCTCCTCCTCCTCCTCCTCCTCCCCCTCCTCCTCCTCCTCCTCCTCCTCCTCCTCCTCCTCCTCCTCCTCCTCCTCCTCCATCCTCCTCCTCTCCTCCTCCCCCTCTCCTCCTCTCCTCCTCCCCCTCCTCCTCCTCCATCCTCCATCCCCCTCCTCCTCTCCTCCTCTCCTCCTCCCCTCCTCCTCCTCCTCCTCCTCCTCCTCCTCCCCCTCCTCCTCCTCCTCCTCCTCCTCCCTCCTCCTCCTCCTCCTCCTCCTCCTCCTCCCCTCCTCCTCCTCCTCCTCTCCCCCTCCTCCTCTCCTTCCCCCGCTCCTCCTCCTCCTCCAACTCCTCCTCCTCCTGCCCTCCTCCTCCTCCTCCCTCCTCCTCCTCCTCCTCCTCCGGGCTCCTCCCCTCTCCCCCTCGTCGTCGTCCTCCTCCTCCTCCTCCTCCTCATCTTCCTCTTCCTCCTCCCTCCTCCCTCCTCCTCCTCCTCCTCCTCCCCCTCTCCCCCCTCTCCCAATCTCCCTGTCCTTCCAATTCTTCCTACTCCTCGTCCTCCGTCTCCCCCACCCCCCCCCCCCCCCCCCCCTCCTGGGACTCCCCTCATCTTCTTCTCCTCCTCCTCCTCCTAGGTCCTCCTCCTCCGCCTCCTCCTCCTCAGGCTCCTCGTCTCCTCCTCCATCCTCCCTCCCTCCTCCTCCCCGACCGCGGCCCTCCTCCTCCTCCTCCTCCCCGTCCTCCTCTCCTCCTCCTCCTCCTCCTTCTCCTCCACCTATAGCCTAGCGGGGTAGGGAGTCGGTAGGGAGGCCCCCCCCCTCCTGCTCCCCCTCCTCTTCCTGCCCCTCCTTTTTCCTCCTCTTCGACCCTGGAAGCCCCTGCTCCTCCTCGACTCCTCCACCCCTCCACCCCTCCAAGGAGGAGGGGCGGGTGGAATGGTGGGCGTGGCGGAGGAAAAAAGGAAGACCGCAGCCTGCATGGTGGACGTGCCCCAGCCGAACCCTTCAGCTGGCCCATCTTGGCTGCAGGCCAGCACTGTCTCTGCCGACTGCCGTAGCCGATCCACTGGCTCAGGCACCCTGGGGCGATGCGACTTCTCCTTGTTCATCGTGGCCCCTACCGCAGGGTGGAGCATGATGGCCCTCGGCCACGCGGAGCTCTTATGCAGGGTGACGGACCAGATCACGCTCCTGTCCCTGACGTCGCAGATGCGACCAACAAGTTGCGACGGCTGGGTCCAAGCCAGGTAAACAATCTTCCGCTGACCAGGATCATCTGCTACAACGTGGTCGCTCATCACCAACGAGAGATCGTGCGGCGGCTTGGCGCCGCCGCCGGGGTTCGAGCCCGCTCGCAGGCGAGCCGCCTCAACCTCTGATGCGCTTTCAATCGCTGCGAGACTAAGCTCGAGCTCGGCCCGCCACTTCTCCAGGACGGCGACGTCGATGTCAATCTCCACGTCGCCAGCGCCGCCGCCGCCATCCTCTGGCAACAACAAGGCTCGACTCGACGCGCCCCCCCATCGGGCCCCGCCCCTGTCCCGGGTCCCGCCGAGACGTCCGCCCTGGGGCCCAACTGGAAAAAACACACAAACACCGCCCGCCCGCCTGGCACCGGGGGGCCTGGACAGCCTGGGCGCCAAGACATGACCCCGCGATCCGCGGCCCCCAAGGGCCCAAGAGGGGCCCCGGGGAGCGCTTCGAGCCTAGATTTGTTGGCCCTCCCTCCTCTGCCATAGCACCTGCAAGAAGCTCATCCCTCTGCTCCGCGGACAAGTCCGCCCCGTCAGCGAAGTCGTCGTCGACAACGGCGCCCGTCGCGTCGCCGCCCTCGCCCTCTGCCTTCAGCGCCTTCGCGATGATCTCGTCCTCGTGCGCTCTCACCGCCGCCTCGCCGGCCTCTTCGGCGTCCGCCTGCGCCAATGCGTCGAAGCCCAGCCCGGTCTCCTCGATGCCCCCGTGCGCGTGCGCGTACATGGCCTGCCCGACCTCTGCCAGCGCGGCGTCGTCGTCGGCAAGGTCTAGCGAGTCTAGCTCCTCGTCGCCTCCGCTGCCAGCAGCTGCCGGCCCAGCCCCCGGCTCAGCTCCCACGACTCCGGAGTCCGCGCCTGGCCCGACATCTCCAGGGGCACCGGGGGGCCCCGAGCCCTCGAGCCAGTCCTCGATGGTCTCGTGGGCGGTCTTCCGCTGCAGCCCGACCTTCGGGACCTCCTTGCTTAGAGTCATGATCTCCTCATGGTTCATGTCGATCGTGGCATGGAAGTTCCCGTCGGGCTGCTGTGACATACTCTGGACAGCGTGGCGGCGAACCTGGAGGGGGCCCTCGCCGACTCCGCCCGTAAATCGACTGGTGTATATGCTAGCGAACATGTCGATGCTGGCGGCGTGCTCGAATGGGACCAAGAGCCGCGCCTGGCACCACGCCTTCGGCGGCCCCTCAGGGTCGTCGCCGTCGACCATCACCCACTTAGTAGTTGACCTGACAGAAAAATTTCGATCTGTGACAAAGTAGACAGCGTCGCCAACCGAAAGCCTCCCAGTGCCAAAAGACAAGCACACGCGAGGGTTCACGTCCCTGACATGCCGTCCAAGAAGAAGCGTTTGAGCCGTCGCCCATCTCCACGCAGGCGTTCCTGCCAGCTCAGCAGGGTCTGCCAGCTCCGTGCAAATGTCAAGAACCTGCTTCGACGGCAGCCCGTGCGGCGGCGGCGTCTGCCATCGCTGCGAATCATCCCGAAGCTGGCGAGCCGCTGGCAAGCACGTCGCCGCTGACTTGAGGAGAGCGGCGGCCTCCTTGCGAATGTGGGAAAACTTCAAGGCAGCCTTGCCAACGCCAACAATACCCAGCTGAGACCTGACGCCGAGCCTGGCGCTTAACAGAGGTAACCCGATGTGCCGGTTGCGAGCGCAAATATGTTTGATGCACCCGTTGATACCCTCGTTCCTCTGAACGTCAGCGATGAGCTGAGTCCGGAGGGTTTGGGCGAACGACCACAGCTCCGGGGTGGTGGTTCCTCGCTCAGCTGCGCCCACTACTCCGTCGAGGTACACTGTTAGAACTTTACGAGTGTTGACATCAAGTCGTCGACGTGAAACGCTCAGGATCTCCCTCGCCAACCTCTGCCTCCTCTCGCAGAAACTGTTGGCGGGGGTCGCAGCAAATAAAACCAAAGTGTATGGGAGCTTGCATACCAGTTGCGTAATCCTGGAAGGAAGAGGGGGAGGGGCCGGGGGGCCTGATGGGGGGGGGCGAGGATGCGAGGAATAGGAGGGCGGGCCGGGGAGGTGGGGGAAGGGGGCGGGGCCAGCGAGGGTAGGCAAGGGCCCTAAGGGGATGGATGGAGGGGCGGATGGGGGGGAGGAGGAGGAGAGGAGGAGGTGGAGGAGGGGGAGGGGGAAGACGAGGATAAGGAGGAGGAGGGAGGACGAAACAGACGAGGAAGACTCTTCCCCAGGAAGAGGAGAATGAATGAGGAGGGGGGGGCCGGGGGGGAGAGTAGGAGGAGGCGGAGGAGGAGGCGGAGGCGGAGGGAAGGACAGGACCAGGGAAGGATGAGAACTGGGGAGAGCAGGATGGAAGGGGAGATGAACGAGGGACGGAGGAAGGAGTGACGCGTCCTGCGCTCGTACGCCGTGCTCAGATGCATGTGGAGGTGCACAAGTAAAAATGTAAGTTCAGTGAGATGCTGCGGAGGCGCAGTCACCAGCGCCGCCGACCACCGAACCCGAACAAGATTCTGCCCAAATCGACTGTTGATTTCCTGTGCCTTGCCGCTGATGAGTTGCGCGGCCGTGTTCCCATGCACGGCCGCTTCCCACGGTGGAACGACCTTCTGGATAAAATTCTGGTGGTGGTCCATCTCTCCGTGGGCAAGTCTGAAGATCTGGGCGATGGCTGCATAGAGGGGGTCGCCGACCCTTGCCACCGCGTCGGCCCTGAACCTCCCCATCCGCCTGCTGTATTCCATCTGGGACTCCTGCCGCGGGTCGGCGAGCGCGGGGGCCAGCTCTCCGGCAGCTCCAGCTCCAGCCGCGTCCGCGATAGCCTGGGGCGGCGGCGGGCAGCGGCGGTTGAGCTGACAGACCGTCGGGGAACTCAAGCTGGAGGAGGAGGGGCAGGAGGAGGGGGAGGAGAGGAGGGAGGGGGCGGAGAGCGGGGGGCTGGCGGGCTGGCGGGGGGGAGGGGGCCCGCGGGGGGAGGGGGGGCACATGGGCCGAGGCAGAGCAGAACTGGTCGAGGACGACGGGCGAGATGAGGAGGGATAGACGGGGGTGCCGAGGAAAGGAGCAGGGGGTAACACAACAGAGGCAGCAGAAGCAAGGGGACTAGGAAAAGGGGATGCGCGCCGAAACACCCAGGAGCATGTGCGGCGTGGAGGAAGGCCCTGAAGAAGGCCCTGAAGGCGGCCGGGGCCCTCCGCTTTTTCTCGTCGTCGTCGTTGTCGCCGTCGTCGGTCGTCGTCGTCGTCGTCGTCGTCATCGTCGTCGTCGTCGTCTCGTCGCAGTTGTCGTCGTCGTCGTCGTCATCGTCGTCGTTGTCTTCGTCTCGCCGTCTCGCCCCCCCCGCCCCCCCCTTTCCTCGCCCTCCTCAGCTCCTCAGGCCTCTTCCTTCACCTTCCTCTCGACTCTCCTCCTCCTCCTCGGGTATCCTCATCCTCGCCGCCCTTCCCCCCCGACTTCCCCCCCTTCCAGCCGCCCTCGCTCCTGGGGCCGGGGAGGGGCGGGGGCGGGCAGGGTAAAAATATTATAGTTTCCCGCATCCCGCGCCCTCCATGCGAGGATCGAAGGCGTCCTTGAGCACTGCGGCGAGCTCGGGCTGACACGGGGCCAACCTGTCGAGGGCGGCGGACATGCTGCCCCAACGCCCCGATAAAGGCACCGGGGGCAGCGTCTTCGCGTGCTCCAACGCGGACTCGGGCCCAATGAGCCTGCACCAACTTTTGAAGACGTCGCGCATCTTGTCGCGCCAGGCGTATATGATCTTCGCCGTGGTGGAAAAGAACCGCCAGGGCAACCCGTTGTGCAAAAGCCACTCGTCGACAATGCTGAGAGCGCCCTTCGAGACCAAAGCCCCCGCGTGTAATACGCAAGGGAAATCTATATACAGCGTAAACAAGCTTGACATGCATGCGGCTGCCATAACACGTTTGAACTTAGCTTGGTCGCTCCCGCCATCAGACGTGTACAGAAAAATGCTAACGTGGACCCGCATGTCGGCCTTGGCCCGATTCAGCTCGGTCCCCCACTCGCTTGAATAGTTGACTAAGTGAACCAGATGAGCTGGCTCTGCGCTGACAGGCCAATCCTCACTCCACAAAGGTGCCCCCAGGCTGGAAACTTGCTTCTGGAGCATTGCGTAGGTCGACTCCGTGGACCCGTCGAGGACGCGCTGGATGTCGCACAGGGTGCGAAATGCAATTGCACAAGTATCCCAAGAATGAATCGAAGTCCTGTCCGCATCAGGCAAATACATTGACACCACTTCTGTTGTATGTAACTTCGACCGGGACCACACTGCACTGTTGGTCGCGTCGCTGCTGAAAGCGCACGCGGATATTTGGTGGCACGTGCGATTGGCAGCTCGCGCGCATTGCGCAGCCTTCAAGAGGCCATGGCGGCATATGAGATTCCGTTCTCGCACCAACTGCTTCAGGCAAGCATCCAATAGTATAACATGTCTGCAGACAGTCTGGTGGCTGACGTCACGCAGTAAGCCCAACCCAACTCTGTTCGCAGCAGCGCCGGACACAACTGTCCGCAGTGCGAGGGCAAGGGAACCCTGGTCGGTAAGTCGAACCCCTTTCCCATTCAGTCGCGTCGAAAGGTCGAAGACTGTGTTGTCGTCAACTGGAGGCGCTGCCCTAGATACTTGTAACTGGTCAGACTTGCTCCTCGTCCTCCTCACTTCAGTTCTCAACTCTTTCCTCAGCGCGCGAATGACATCATCCCGCTGGAGCACCAATCCCACAAGTTGTTCGCGGGCAAGCCGGGAGTAATGTTCTCGAGCAAGGTCCGGCGGAAGAAGTCTCTCTGCCACCGCCGCAGCCGCAGGCTGATCATCGGGCCGATCAGGCTGATCGACGGCTGGCACGATGGCGCGCGCCTCTGTCTGGACGCCGGACTCTGCGCCATCGGCAATCGGGAGGGCCTGGGGCGGCAGCGGCGGTGACGAACGGGTCGCCACCTCGCCGAGTCCAGCAACGAGGCCCGCCCACGAGTCCAGGGGCACAGTGATGCCGCACACCTGCTGGAGCAGCGCTGGGATGACGTCAGCGTGGAATACCTCCACTCCGTCGCTCAGAGAAACGCGCTGCCTGTAGAGAGGATTCCTCCGTAGGAGAGTCTGAACGCTCTTGCGGCACCGCTGCGCTGGAACGTTGCCGGGGGCGAACAGCTCCACCAAATCGCACAGGGCATCCTGGTCCAGACGTCTGCCACGGACCGCACAACCCCCCGCCCGAGAGATCGCCAGCTCCAACCGGCGAAACTCCAGCGGGTCGACCAGTCGTGGCGGCGGCGCCCGATCGTCAGCGCCAAAGGATGCTGCTCGCTTCTGGGGGCGCGGCAACGAACTCCCCCGGGACCCCGGGGCCCCCCTTCCCCCGCGACCAGGAGGTCCCCAGGGATGGGCGGGCGCGGATGGGAAGGGGTTCGGGGCTCTTCTCGCCCTCCCACGCTCCCACGCCCGAGTATCTCCTTTTTTCTCTCTCTCTTTCTCTCTCTCTCTCTCTCTCTCTCTCTCTCTCTCTCTCTCTCTCTCTCCATATGTTTTTTTCTCTCTATCTCTCTCTCTCTTTCACTTTCTCTTTTATGTTATGTTATCTCTCTCTCTATCTATATTTCTCTCTCCATCTCTCTTTCTCGTTCTCTCAGTTGCCTTCTCTCTCTTTCTCCTTATCTTTCTCTTTCTCTCTCTATCTCATTATTCCCCCCTCTGTCGCATATCATGACATGTGTTATGTTTGTTGTCTTTTGTTTGTAAAGGTTATCCTCTCTCTGTCTCTCTCTCTCTCTCTCTCTCTCTCTCTTTCTTTCTATCTCTCTCTTTCTGTCTCGCTCTCTCACCTTCGTATTCTCTATCTATATGTTTTGTTATCTCATTCGGACTCACTCTCTCTCTATCACACTCTCTCTCTCTCTCTCTCTCCCTCTCTCTCTCTCACTCTCTCTCTCTGTCTCCCTCTCTCTAGGGGGGGGGGGCCCGGGGAAATTGCCGCCGCGCCGTCCTGCCCGCGGCGCCCAAGGCCAGCGGCCATCGCCGAGACATCGGCGGGCCCGAGCTGAACTGAGCTGGGCCGCGCTGGGCCGTGCTGGCCCGGCCGCCCGGGCCGGCCAGTGAACTGCGAGCCGCAACTGCGGGGGCGGCGGGCAGCAGCGGCGGCGAAAAGGGAAGGAGGAGGGCGAGGAGTCGAGGAGGAGCAAGAGGAGGGGCAAGATGAAGAGGAGGAGGAGGAGGAGGAGCAAGAGGAAGAGGAGGAGGAGGAGGAGGAAGAACGGAGGAGGGAGGAGGAGGCTGAGGGGGACCAGGAGGAGGAGGACGGCAAGGCAGGTACGTATGAGGACTAAGAGTCAATAAGAGAAGAGAGGGGAAGCCTGAGGGTGACAGGAGGGGGCATTTGCGGGGCGACGCCGACGTGCCGACGCGAGCCCCCCGAATCTTCGGGCGCCGGCCGCGCCCCGCCCCTCCGAACCCAGTCTCATCTCTGGGGAGCGCGATGCGAGGTGGGGCGGGGGCAGGGGGGTAGAGGAGGAGGAGGGCGAGGAGAGGGCCTGGCAGACGAGCACGGCAAGGAAGAGGAGGCGGAGGTTGAGGAGAAGGAAGGGCGAGGATGAGGAGGAGGACCTTATCTTATTATTATGTGGATTCCTCCTCCTCCCGTCGCTCTTCTCCTCTGTGGAGTTCGGGTTCGCCTCGGGCGCGGCGCGC